GTTGACTTTTTTTTTTACATCGATGAATCTATTTATGAGCAAATGCGGTAAAATGTCTATTTATCAATTTAAAAAAAAATTCACTTTGCTTTGAAGATAGGCTGAAACAAAGGATTGATTTCAACCATTTCTCCTTTGAATATCTTGACGTGCTTTCCTTGCATGTGAAAGAACTTTTTACTGCTAAATCTTGCTGCAGCCGATTTGATGCTTTGCATCAATTTAACTTGTTTACTATTGTACCAGGGTCAAAATGGTTATTAAAACCTAAAGAGGTCCCAGTAGTACTGAATCAACGTGTTGGTCCACAACAGCGATGTTCGATATAGGCTGCAGGATTTCGGACGATTCTGTACTTCAACGAGTTGTCCACCAACTTAATTCTTCAAATATCATTAATGAGATCAAATATCAAAAGTAAATGACTGTGTGACATTTTTCATTTAAATAAAATTCCGAGAATGCTTTTTCATATGTGCGTGTTTGTAAAGGGGAATTAGGGGGGGGGGGGTAGTGACATATCAATCAGGGTCGGGTCGGATTATTTATGTTATTCTCATTTGATAATATTATACACTTATCCACTGGGTGTGAGTGGGATAGCTCTTTTATCAAACCCGCGACAGAGAACTATTCCCCGAGGGCCTGCCCGAGGGGAATAGTTTCTGTCAAGGGTTTGATAAAAGAGCTATCCCAATCACAACCAGTGGATAAGCGTTTTATTATACTGATGTATAATATAATTTCTGAGGTTTGAATTTTTTGGTAGTAAGGTAATTCTGCAAGAATAATCTGAAATCCTGATGACGTCATAATACTACTGAAGTCATTATGACATCATCAGTTTAAAGATTTATCGCTGGAAATCAAAATTGGCGGCAACAATTGCAAGAAAATTTTCCGAGGGTGGATAGCAAAAACTATTCCCCGGGGTATAGCTTTGCTATGCGTGGACTATAAAGGATAGTTATTTTACCGTCTGATCTTAATATAGGAAATATTTTAACAGAAGTATAATAAATAGTTTTATTTTTTAAAAGGACAGATTATTTATTGTCAATTTTGTCAAATGCAAACTCCCCTCTCATCAAAAACAATTAAATGGTCGTCCTCATAGATTCTGAAGTCCAAAAGTAATAAACAAGATGTAAGATAGGACTTAGAAATTTAATAATTAAATCTCTCTGAATATAACTGTATTAACAACTGAGATGCTTTATATGATAGTGCTGAGGATCTTTGAAATCTTACAAATAATCTAATTACTTACTGTATGCTATTATTTGACATTGCACGTTTACGCCGCCATACAAGATTGGCCTGTCCGGATTTACCTGCATTGTGTCCGGATTTACCCCACTGTGCCAATACGTTTTATTTTGCAAATATTTGAATAAGACCTGGAGGAAAACAATCTAAAACATCTATTTATCGAGGATTGTGTATGAAATTCACACATCGATTCAGATCTGGGTTACCCATCATTCAGTTTCGCGCTACTACTCCCACCGAACAACGCTCATGTGAGTTTTGTCCGGAATTACCCGAATATACCCTATACCTCTACTGTCATTACTCTGTATAAATTAATACCATAAAACTCTATTTCCCCGATAAGTGACTATTGCCCTCATCTGAAGACTACTCCCTGGAAAATCAGAGTTGCTCCCTTGGACTACTCCCTCATGAATATTTATTAGTAATTTTAACCAATCAATGTGTTCAGTGGGTGGAGCGTTCAAGGAATCTCGAGTCTTTGACGTCATGTTATTTGCAATGTAGCTATGACGTCAGAACATTTCAATGTGCGATGTCAAAATCATACTTGAATTCTAGCAAAATGAAGACAACGATAATTTTTCGAAATGTCAGTGAAAATACTTTTTAAAAAATAATTTTATTGTTTAAGGACACGATGCTTCACTTATCATACATTGTGTTAAACCGCATGCATTTGTAATTATGCCTCTACAGTTTTTTTAAAATGTTGGAATATCTGGTTAAAAAAATTTAAATCGCCTATCATTATTTCGGTATAATAAAAAAGTTATGGAATGGGAACTCGGGAAATAACAAATTTATTGTTCCCCTAGGCAGAAAATTATTTCCTCCGGGAAATAGTTTCCTCCCTCGGGGAATCATAAATTTGCTATTTCCCTCATACCCATTTCATAACTGTATACTATAGTACATGGAAAGGAATTGCCTTGTCTGTCTGTCGATTTGCCACATGCATTTTTCCCTACTCTATTACTTTACTTCAAGGATATATGAAGCTCTTGTTTTCTTCAAAGAAAGCCAGAAGAATTTGTGAAGAATCTTACCTAAATCATTTGATGACATTTTTTTCAATTGATTAATTTAAATGTATCATTATCATAAACATGACATTTACTTTAAAAATCTTAGAATATGTCTTGTATGGTTTATTTCAATTTAATTTGAAAACTGTGTTTTTTCACAGGTACCTGCTTTGAGTACTACTCTTGTGTATTTGGAGACAGTCCAGTTGTTCTTTAAACCAGAAGTGGAATTTTCAGTGCTTGTTAAATTTTCTCCAGAAGTTATTGGATGATACATAGGAAGAAAATGGTGTCATACTGAACAAAATAGTTTGGATACACCTTATAGATTTTGAAAGAGTGAGACCTCAAAATCAACCCAAATGATATTTAATGTGTATCAGGGTTCACTTGCAGGAATACACAGAAATTCAGAGTAAATTTTTAGTGTTTGTTATCTTAGAAAAGATCAAAGTTCAAGGTCAGCAGTGCTTTAGTTTTACCAAATATAAAACTATTATAAAGACTAATTTCCTGTATACAGGTATAGCAAATAATTCAGAATATGATTTGGGGAAACCATGATTTTTTCTTTTAAATCTTAACTTAATTTAGAACCATGATGTACAATGTATACTTAAGCAAGTAGATTTTTTTTCAAGCATACAAAATTTCAAGGTCATTTTAATTTTGGAAGTGAATATAAAATATCAGGAAGCAGTCAAGCATTGTAATTTATTTGTTGTTGAATGTACTTAGTTATTGAGTAATATTCAAATTTTAATATGCAATGAAATTAAAAATTATAAAATAACTGATGTCCTAATTTGTAGATTTTTAAAACTTTGTGTTCATTCATTTTGAGGTTGTTGCCATTACAATACATGTATATCTGTCAAGAAAATAGCTCTGATATTCCTTTTTTTCAGTTTGACCCTTGACCCTTAACCTTTAACATTGTGACCTCAAAATCTAAAGGGGTCCTCTACTTTTCAAGAAACCAATGTACGAAATTTCATGTCTGTCAAACAATGGGTCCTCACGATTTTGAATGGTTAAAATCTACATACTGGTATATCGAGAATTATAACCCTTGACCTTTGACCTTTTGAACTCCAAATTAAAAGGGGTCATCTACCTATTAGTAGATACCAGTGTACTATGTTTATTATTTATCAAGCAAGTCTTTTTTAAGATATGAGAGAACACACTTGGTCTTCTGATTGAAAAACAGGTACCAAACAGTATGTGAATATCACCCTGCTCAAAGAAAATGTAAAATAATACAATTCTGCTACCCCCCCCCCCCCTCCCCCAATTTAAACCCCATTTAACCCCCTAAGAAATAATTATTGATTGAAAACAAAAATGTTCAATAAACTGGTATTTTTCAACAGCAAAATTTGAATTCTTGAAAATATTTAAATCAGCAAATAACTCCTTGCTGAAGTTCAGGGATGAGAAAATTTGAAAATTCACAAAAAATGTCCAACTTTAAGTAAAAATTACAGCAAAATATTTGAGAGTCCAAAGACAGATTTTTTATATAATGTAGACAGACATGTTGTCTAATAATTGGTATGAGATTGAGTTGATTCTAAGCGTTACTTTCTGAGTTATGGGTTTTTAAAAAGTTAATATTTTTACCAGTTTTCAAAAATCTGGAAATATGCCAGATTTGTGACCTTTTTGCACTTAAACGAGGGCACAGTTTGTGATTATGAAAAAAATTCCGAGACAAGTGTATCTTGTTACTTTCAACCATATATGGATAATTTATATCATAATCAAGTAAAATGCTGAATTTTTAAATATGAAATCCTATAAAATTCCTGTTTTCACCCTGCGTTTGGACCAAGAATTCTATTTTTAGAAACAGTGTCGATTTTACCCCTTAAGTGAGACCACACTGAAAAAAAAATTGTGGCAAAATATTTCATATTATAGAAGAAATTTACACACAAAACATGAAGTTGATCAGAGAACCTTGCTCCCATAACCTCTTGCATGGTTTTCTCGTAGACATGCTCTTAAAGTAATTAGAAAAAAAAATTACTTCCACTTGCCATTTAATATGTTTCAATCACATTAAATTTGAGATACACTTTAAAATTTCATATAATGGGTGGAGGCTAATCAGGCTATAAGTACATTAACTATAGTTCATCACCTTCATCACAATATCTCAGCAAAAGGATCAGGCTCCTGACTTACATAGAGTTTTTATGATGTACATACTTCTTTTTTACTAGCATGTCACATGTCAGTAAACTCTAAATAGATCGACATACAGTGAAACATGCTTTTATAGAACATCTTATAAGTAAACCAATTCATACTGAAAGCAATGTGATTTTCATCCCCATGACTATAAATATTATACAGCCATATCTCAAAGTGCATGTTGAAATCAATGTTTTCAAATCCATATTTTATAAAGGATTTGCAAACATAAAATACTTCTGTGCACCTTTTAACTGCATGTGTTTTATTTTTTTATTTTTTTTTTTTTTTGGTTTTTGTCTAATTGTTTGTGTCTGTATTGTGAAAAGTTTTAATGAATTTAAGACTATTTAAAAAAAATTACAATCATTTTTGAATAGAAATGTTAAATCTTCAATATTAGATATTTGGTATGTTTCATGGCAAAAAAAATATATTAATATAACTGAAAAGCAGGATACGAACAGACACTTATTTTCACATTTTGCATTACAGGTGCTATACTGGAGTGATAAAGAAAGAAAACAAAGTGAAGTTTATGATTTGACTGAAAGAGAGATTAACACAGACATAAAAGAGGGATTTCTATTTATCAGAGGTAATGCACTTACACAAATTGTAAAACATTATTGTTCTACTTATATTACTGTTAAATGACATCAGTTTAATGTCAGCATTGTGAATGTTATTATTTTCTAAATATACATATAATTATATATTTCCTCAGACACAACTAGATTTGACCACTGCTACGCAGCTTCTTAAACATCCTATCCTTCTGTGACGTCATCTGCCATCTTGCTTTCCAATATTTGTGCAGGACAAGAGGTCAAGGTAGTCACACTCAGTCAGTGTGGGACTCCGCGCTATACTGTATACCACTGTGAATACCTTGACCTTAATAACCCTTGAACAAATATTGGATTTTGCAAACTGAAATTACAGAGTGATACAGTGACTGAAATTTCCATAGAAGGTAAATACATTTTTTATGAAGAAAATATTAACTCATTTTATATTATATATACATATCATATTTTTATTTCATTTTTTTTATTTTCTTCTGTTCTCTGTCTTTGTCTTTTATTTTTAGTTCATTTTCTTCATCTTTTATATTTAGTTTATTGTCTATGTTTTTTGTGTGTGTCAATCTTCATTTTTGTTTTGTTTATGTTTCATTTTGCACAGCATTTATGGTAAAAATTCAGTTAACAATCACTTTTGTGCACATTTATATAATCCTTCCGTGACGTCATCCACCATGTTGCTTTCTTACCTTCCTCTGAAAAGTCCATATCATGACTGAGTCAAATCTTTTAAAATTTTTAAACCTTCCTGCACCAGAACCATCTGGAAAAAAAATATACCAGCCTGTAGTCCTCTCTGACAGCAAGGGAAAATGGCTCCAAAGAGCAATCACAACAAGTGTGACATTATTTGGTTTTCTAAAAGTGGCGCGAAGATCGAGGACAGTACTGAGTGGCTCAAAACAAACATAGATAACAAAATCAGGAAATATGGAAATGTGTGGCTTTATGTCTGGTTAGGTACCTGCAATTTGACCAGTTGGAACAATAAGTACATTAGTCTAGACCAAAATAAAAATGAAGTCGTAGAAAATATACAATCAAAATTTTATGAGGTAATTAAAATTATGAATAAATATCCAGGCTCGAAAGTCACCATCTTAGAAGTACCACCTTATTCAATAAAAGCCTGGAATATAAAGAAAGGACACCCAAACCCACAAATTTTTGAAGAACAAGATAGGGAACTAGAAGAACAACTTTTTAAATTAAACAACAAAATAAGAGAAATCAACACCAATCTTAAAACCCATTCACCAGCATTTTCTGTAGATCTACACAAAACCTCCAAAACAAAATCAGGAACAAAGAAAACATCAAAACTCAGGAAATTTACTAACTTTTCCCTTTTGGCCGATGGAATTCACCCAGGATCATTAATTGCCAAAGTTTGGTTGAAAAAAATCAGAGATCAATCTATAAGAGACTGCTGGGCCTGAGGAAACAGACCAAGATATACAGAACCCAAGTCTAATATTTGTCCAGTTTGCAGGCAAATGACTTGGTAGGGAAAGAAATTCTGCATACAAGTTTTTTATCTTCAATAATGATAATTTTACACTGTTTCACAAAATTGCATGGCACTTAATAACAAATTTTTAAAGCATATCCTCTAAATAAATTTACAAGATGTCAAATGGCCATAGTGATCAGCCGAGAATAATAAAACAGTACAATACAACAATGTAAAGGATCTATAAAAGTAAATATGTAAAATACAGCTCATGGGCAAAGAAAAAGATTTTCCAAGAAATAATGCATTTTTATTGTATGATGACTACCTAAAGCTCCACACTTCCTCCAGAATCCCTGTCCATTTGACACTTAATTTTGCTAAAGGGCTCTGTAATTATTACATTAGTGCCAAAAGTTTGACTGTTGTCCAACCATAAAGAAGAAGATTATTTAAAGATTGCATTAATTCTGATGGTTTTGCTCCCATCCCATAGGCTGCGGGGAGTGGGCATGAAATTCACAATATTTGACTGTTTCCTTTTACCCACAGATGCTCTATGCCAAAATTGGTTGTCACTGGTTCAGCAGTCCCAGAAAAGAAGCTGATGATAATAAAATGTTCACACACAATGCACAATATAACACACAAAAAAGATAGAAGACTGAAGTACATATATGTACATAGATGACTTAAAAAAAGGGAACTTTTAGAAGTCAATTCAGAATTTAAGAAAATATCCATTGTCTAACAAGAGAAACATATTACTCATTTATTAAAGTAAAGTCTGCTTTTATTATCAAAAATACTAGGAATTGTGGAAATAAGTCAAAAAATTTCAACGACTGAAAAGGTTGAATGTAAAATAATTCATTAGAATTGTAAAAATGGATATTATTGAATTCTCTCAAGGTGTAAAAAGTCACAAGATTTCATTTTCTTTCAATTTACTATTTGAACAATTTGAACATACATCAGTCAATCTTTTTTTCTTCTTCATATGATGCATTCATAACTGTCTAATTATTAATGGTAGTATGTTTATGTCTTGTGCATGTTTTAAAATGTTCATACATTGTTTATGTTAATGTTTTTGGTGTAAGGTGTATTGCCTAAATATTCATTTGAAATATTTATAACTGTATCCGCCTTACTTCTAAATTATATATATATTTAATTACTTATTTATGGCTATAAATAAGAACATCTATGAATTATATTTTACATTGTATACTTGTTTAATAAACTAAGGAGCTGATAAGAACAGGTTTATAATCTCTAAACAAACAATATTTTAGGTTGTGTACTGGGATGATAAAGACTGGAAGAATGAATGGGAGTTTCAGTTAACAGAGAGAGATCAGAGTTGAAGATTATTTACTACATTTTGAGAAAAAGACTACAGAAGGTATGAAGTGAGAGTTATCTTTCATTATAGGAATTACCCCTTCAATAATGAGATTGAGTTACTGCCCTTTGGAGCCAACTTCCACTTCAGGTAGAGGTTATTTGAAGTAATTTAAATAACAATGGGAAGGATAACCAATGAAATTCTTTCTATTTATAACCAAGTTCTGCACTTTAGGACCTATTGATGATCATTATATTACCAATGATTTCTATTTAATTTTTAGGTGGAATAGCTACATTAACTGGGAAATATATGACGATGCTACAATTTTTTAAATATTTGACCTTTAATTTTCCTTAAATTTCGACCAATTTAAAGTGCACCAAATTGTCAATGAATCTTTTCTATACGTGGGTATTCTATTTACTTTACTTTCTAATTCTTTGTGCAGTGCAGCTGTATACGCGTACAATAATGAGGGAATTGACGCAATTTGCAGAATTTTGATACTTAAAATAAACATATATCCATATGTCAGAAATTAAAATAATATCTGTCAACTGTCAAGGTTTAAATGATGCAATGTAATGAAAAGATGTCTTTCACTACTTTCGACAAAAAAAATGTAGTATTCTGTGTCTTATTGACACTCATTTTATAGAAGAAAACGAACAAATCATTAGAAACGAGTGGCTTATTTTAGTTCCTATATGTCGAATTCAAGAGGAGTTGCAATTTTTTTCAACAATAATTTCTCTTTCAAGGTTCATGATCAGTTTTTAGATACCTCTGGTAACTACTTGGCATTAGAGATTACTATAGAAGGAAAAAAAATTACATTGATAACTATATATGGACCAAATGATGACTGTCCAACATTTTTTGAAAATATATCCAATATGATTTCTAGATTAAATAATAAGGTCATTATTGCTGGAGATTTCAATTTAGTTTTAGATCCAGCTAAGGACTATTCTAATTATTTGCATGTGAATAACCCTAAGGCAAGACAAGTAGTACTTGAGATAATGAACACATATAATTTAGTGGACATTTACAGAGAATATCATGTTGATGACAAAAGATTTACATGGAGGAAATCTAATCCTTTAAAACAGGCAAGGCTAGACTTCATACTTCTTTCCAACTCTCTTCTAAATAGTGTAAAAAAAAATGTGACATCTTAGGAAGCTATAGATCAGATCACTCAGCAGTGGTTTTACATCTTAAAATTAATTAAAAAAAGCATGGGAAAGGTTTATGGAAATTCAACAATTCTCTTTTGAAGTATCCTGACTATATTGAACTGATAAACAATCATATTAATGTAATTAAAAAACAATACGCTGTTCCAATATACGTAGAAAATTCTATAGATGAAATACCAAACTCTGAAATTCATTTAACTATTAATGATCAATTATTTCTTGAGACGCTATTATGGAATTAAGAGCTAAAACAATATCTTATGGAAGTAATTTTTAAAAAAAAGAATGTACAGAGAGAAAAAGTTTTAATCCAGGATATATCGAAACTAGAAGAGGAATATGCGTCTTCTATAGAAAAATTAACTGAGAAAAAAAGAGAACTAGAACAAATAAGACAACATAAATTAATGGGAAATGTGATAAGGTCTAGAGCCAGATGGATCAGTGATGATGAAAAACCAACAAATTATTTTCTAAATCTTGAGAATAGAAATTTTACAAACAAAGTAATTCCTAAACTTATTAAAACAGAAAATAATGAACAAGTGGGGATAACAGAACAATGTAAAATTCTCTTAGAAGTGGAAAATTTTTATAAAACATTATACATGCCTCAAGAAGAGGATCATAATTTAAATCTTAGAGAGTCTTTAGAAGAGTATAATGTCCCAAAGTTAAATGAACATGAAAGTTTTCTATTAGAAGGAAAGATTTCTTATAGAGAGGTATCAAATGTGTTAAAACAAATGTCTAATAATAAAAGCCCGGGTAGTGATGGATTTACTGCAGAATTTTTTTAAGTATTTTGGAAAAATCTGGGTCATTTTATTGTTCGATCATTAAACTTCGGTTATGAAAATGGGGAACTCTCCTCCACACAAAAACAGGGAATAATTACATGTATACCCAAAGAGGGCAAAAGTAAATTTCAGCTTAGTAACTGGAGACCAATATCATTGTTGAATGTGATTTATAAAATTGGATCAGGTTGTATAGCACAAAGAATAAAACAAGTTTTACCTAAAATAATAAGTTCAGATCAGACAGGATTCATACCTGGGAGATATATTGGAGAAAATACACGGCTTATATACGATCTGATGGATTATACTGAATTAAAGCAAATCACTGGAATGTTAGTTATGATAGACTTTGAAAAAGCTTTTGACACAGTTTCATGGAAATTTATAGAAAAAACCCTAATTTTTTTCAATTTTGGACAATCTTTTTGTAAATGGATAAAAACTTTTCAATGTAATTCAAATTCATGTGTGACCCAGGCTGGTTTTTTATCCAACTTTTTCAAATTAGGACGCGGTTGTCGACAAGGGGACCCAATTTCACCATATATATTTCTCCTTTGTGCAGAAATATTATCAATAAAGATTAAAAACAATAAAGACATTAAGGGAATTGAAATAGGAAATACTGAATTTTTAATGTCACAGTATGCTGATGACACAATGATAATTTTAGATGGGTCAGAAAAATCACTTCAGGCTTTAACAAAGGAAATAATAGAATTTTATGATATGTCAGGACTAAGGATAAATCGGTCAAAAACCCAAGTGGTATGGATAGGTAGTAAGAAATATTCTAATGACAGAGTTTGTCCAGAGATGGAATTTATCTGGACAACCAATTTTAAACTTCTTGAAATTTATTATGATGTAGATCTTGCAAAGATTACTAGATTAAATTATGACAAAAAAAACTTGTTAAAATCAAATCAATTATAGATCAGTGGAATAAAAGAAACTTAACACCGATTGGGAGGATAACTCTAATCAAATCACTTCTTGTATCTCAACTTAACCATTTGTTTATATCCTTACCAACCCCACAAATTAATTTTCTGAAAAACTTGAGCAATATACTTTTCAATTTTCTATGGAAATCAAATGTTGATAAAATTAAAAGAAATGATGTTACACAGCAATATAAACATGGTGGTTTAAAAATGATTGATATTGGCTGTTATATAAAAGCTTTGAAATCAACATGGATAAGGAGAATTATTAATGACAAAAACTCCAAATGGAAAATTTTGCTTGAAAATATAATTGATACTAACAAACTAATAAATACAGGATCAGTATGTTTATCAAACTTTAAGTGTTTACACAATCAGTTTTGGAAGGATACATTCAATGCTTTTCGGGAAATCCAAGATAATTCTGAAATTACAGACTGGAATGAATATGTTAACCAACCTTTATGGTTGAATAAAAATTTTAAAATTGGAAAACAATCTGTCTTTTATAAATTGTGGTATGAAAATGGTATTACTCATGTGTTAGATCTCCAAGATGAACATAACAATTTTCTATCATTAGAGGATCTACAAAATAAATTTAAAATTAAAATAAATTATGTGACATACAATGGTATAAGACAGACAATACTAGCAGACTTAAAGAAATACAATTTTTATAGAAATGGATTAATGCAAAGACCAATGATTCCCTTTAATATCAAAATATTTATCAATACCAGGAAAGGATCAAAACCTATGTATGATATTTTAAATAAGCCAGTTATCAAACCTTCAGGTAAAAATAAGTGGGCTAGATATTTTGAAATAACTGATATACAATGGAAAACAATTTATAATCTTCCATTCCTTGTGACACGGGATTGTAAATTACAATGGTTTCAATACAGAGTTAATCATCATATTCTAACTACAAATAGTCTCATGTATAAAATAGGTAAATCCGACACTAAGTGTTGTACTTTTTGTGAAGATGAAGAGGAAACAATTTATCATTTAATCTGGTAATGTAATGTTGTTCAGCAATTCTTAAAAAAATTCATACGTTTATGTCAAGCCAAAGACATTGAATTGAATCTCAATGCAAAATCGTTTATTTTTGGTGAAGAAGACACAAATGAAAATTCAGAATACTTCAAACTATGTTGATATTAATGAAGCATTATATTTATAAAGTTCGTTGTCAGAATACCTGTCCATCTATCCAAGGTCTTTTGAATTTATTAATTCATATTTTAAAGCTTTAAAACACACCATAATAGATGATAAAAAACTGACAGATTTTAATACTTTCTGGCAGAAATGGGTTGTTATACTTTAATTAATTTACCTTCTTTGTAATTATTATCATCAGTTCTTTTTTTCAATTTTTTCAATATTAATTATTAGAAAATCCCTCAAAACTGCACTGCACTAGTATTTCTTTAGCTTCCCCCTTTTTCTTTCTTTTTTTTTTAATTTCATATGGTAAGCTTAAAGAAAACTGATTATGTTTTAGGGCACAATATGTAATGCTTACCTGCCTCTCTCTCTCTCTCCCCTCTCTCTCTCTCCCCCTCTCTCTCTTTCTCTCTCTCTCTTCATAAACTTTTACACTAATTTTGTATGTTCCAACCATAATTAGTCTTGTTTGATTTTGATTGTACATATATCCATACAGAAGTTTGTAATGTTTGTAATATGTGTGAAAGTTTCAATAAAAAAAAATAAATAAAAAAAAATGTTGAAAATTTTAGCTTGATACCTTAAATATTTTCCAAATTATGCAATTAAGTCCAATCAACTTTCGCCAGGACTTCGGATTTAAAAAAAAAAACTAGAGGTACTGTGAGCAATGAGCTCACTAAATGATATCCCCCGCCTCCCATATGAATAAAATGGCAGATCAAAAAGTAAAATAGGAGGTGCACAATGGCAATATGTAATAAAGATTCTGTGAAAGTTCCATTAAATTTCCTTCAGTGGTATGAGAGGAATTGCGGATAAGAGCATAACAGACGGACGGACGGACATACAGACGGACGGACAGACGTACAGACGGACGGAATTAACGATTACTATATACCCTCCCGCTTTTCAAGCGGGGGTATAACAACAATCTTGTTATCACTGATCAAGCTTAGGGTGTCGTGACAAATGGTGTCAGAAGTGGGATGATGTTGTTAGCTTTGATCAGTGATTGTTTTTTTTTAAAGAATGTTTTTGTGTAAATTGAATTGAACGTTTGAAAAAAGATATTGTAGTATTTTCATGTATTGAAGTTATAATTTTTTTTATTGTATTGTTGTAGAGAGACGTTCAGAGAGAAGTTAAGGGACCCTGAGAGGAGGACTTTACCATGAATTAGTTTGTATAATGAAGGTTTGATTTCGATTTAGTTCGGTTTCCCCGGAGTGATATTTTGTTTTGCTATTTTGTGTCAATTTATGTAGTTTGAGGTTTGGTTTAATTACAGGTGATTTTTGAGATGGATTTGTTAAAAGAGCTGACTGCATATGGTCAAAGTTTGGACTTGACAGTAGCGGATCTTCAGAGGTTCACCCGAGAACAGCAGGCACATCTCCGAGAACTCAGAGTTGAGCAAAGAGAGAGACAAAAGGAGGACAGAGACTATGAATTGAAGAGAGAAGAGTTGGAAGTAGAGAAGCTCCGACTAGAAGAAAAGAAATCACTAGATGCATTGGAAAGTAAGTAACAAGCTAATGTACAAGAACTTAAATATCAGTTGAGTTTGAAAGAGACAGAATCTAAAGCTGCTAAGTCAGACATATCTGATGGTTCATTAGCAAAGGTTCCTAAAATGCCATACTTTGATGAGATTAAATATGACATAGACTTTTTTCTTAGACGATTTGAAAGATACGCTACAGCACAGAAGTGGAACGAAGGAATGTGGGCCGTGAACTTAAGTGCATTACTTAAAGGACGAGCTCTTGATGTCTATGCGTTACTTCCACAAGAAAAGGCTCTTGATTATGCAGCCCTTAAAACAGCTTTGCTGAGGAGATTCGAGAAAACAGAGGGCGGTTTTCGAGAATATTTCCGTAGGTGTAGACCAGAGGTAGGTGAAACCTTTATACAATTCGCAGTTCGTTTAGGAAGTTATCTAGATAGATGGATTGAGTTTGGAAAAGTTAACAATACCTACAACGGACTATATGACTTAGTGTTGCGAGATCAGTTCATATCAATTTGTAATAGAGACTTAGCGTTGTTCCTAAAGGAGCGTATTCTAAAAAATATCGAAGAGATGTGTATGTTAGAGGATCAGATCAAAGAAGCACGTCATGTAAACTTATTAACTTTAGTTTCTTCTAGCAAAAATGAAACGACATTTGAAAACAGGAATCCAGTCGCAGCAAGAGATCAACGCAGTCAGAAGGAGCAAGTGCCGAAGACTAATGGTCAGTCCTTTTCACAACAGAACAGGGCAGGGAAGGATATTCGATGCTACAAATGTTCCAGGCCAGGACATATAGCTTTGCAGTGTAACCAATCAACAAACAAGAATCTTAGCTTTGCGATAAGAGCTGATACTTCAAGTGAGTCAGAAAGCAGTTCAAAGGAACATAAAGATTCAGGCAAGTGCTCTGCTATTACGTCTATAACATCAGCTTCAACATTTTCAATGGCAAATTCGTCAGACTTATTAACTACAACAGCTTGCAGTGTGGCTAATTTCTCAGATCAGATTCCTGTTTGTGTTGGTGAAATTAATGATCAATCTGTTCAAGTACTTAGAGACACGGGATGCAATGGCGTTATAGTGCGTAGGAGCCTTTTCCATGATGATCAACTTACTGGAGACCAACAAGTGTGTGTTTTGGCAGACAGATCCAAAATTGAAACCACTATCGCAAAGGTGAATGTTGACACACCCGTATTTTGTTTGAGAAGTGAATGCGTGGTGCCTAAAAGCTCCATTATACCCTTTGATTATCGGAAACATTCCGCATGCTAGAGATCCTCACGATCCGAACAAGGACTGGAAGCCTAGTGTTGTGAATGCTTTAGTGACTAGACAACAGAAACGCATGGAAGGTAAGATGATAAAACCTCTTTCTGTTCCAGAAATAATAGAATCTGAAGTTTGTCCAGAGGATATGTTGAAAGCACAGGAAGAAGACGAGACGCTGAAGAATCTCAGAGCTTTGGTTGGAAAGGAAACCAACGATAACAGAATGAAGTACATTTTGAAGAAAGGTATGCTGTTTCGGGTTTTGCAGTCAGAGAAAGTCGAGAATGGTAAGCAGTTTACTCAACAAGTTGTTCCTAAGAAGTACCGAATGAAAGTTTTATCACTTGCACACGAGTCTTTAATGGTAGGTCATTAAGCAACATCAAGGACAATTGATAAAGTGTTAGCTGAGTTTTACTGGCCAGGAGTCCAGGGTGACGCAAGACGGTTTTGTCGATCGTGCGACATATGTCAGAGGACTACTCTTAAAGGTAGGACAACTGAAGTTCCGATTAGTGTTATGCCGATCATAGAAGAGCCATTCAGACGCGTAGCTGTTGATCTGGCGGAACAAACAGAGCCAATGACTGATAACGTTAATCGTTATATTTTAACTTTAGCTGACTTTTCAACACGCTATCCAGAAGCAGTTGCACTCAAAGGTATAGAGACTGCAAGAGTAGCTGAGGGTTAAGTAGATATATTTTGCAGAATCGGAGTTACTTAAGAGATGCTGACAGACATGGGGACACAGTTTACTTCAGAGTAGATGGGTGAAGTAAGTCGTTTACTTTCGAGGAAACGGTTATCCACGACACCCTATCACCCGATGTGTAATGGCTTGGTGGAGAGATTTAATGGTACCCTGAGGCAAATTCTTCGACGACTGTGTTCAGAGCGTCCAAAAGACTGGGACAAATACCTCTCAGCAGCACTTTTTGCCTATCGAGATGCCCCACAGGAAAGCTTGGGATTTTCGCCATTCGAATTGGTATACGGACACAGAGTCAAGGTCCGATGCGAATCCTACGAGAGCTTTGGACAAAAGAAGAGACGGATTCTGAGGTGAGAAGTACTTATCAATATGATGTCGATCTTAGAGAGCGCCTAGAGTCAACTTGTCAGTTAGCCAGAGAAAATTTAAAGAAGTCATCCGAACGTTACCGAGCACAGTACGACAGGAATGCTAAAAACAGAGACATGTCAGTAGGTGAGAAGGTGCTTGTACCTTTACCAACAGATAGCAACAAATTGTTAATGCAATGGAAATGTCCTTTTGAGATAGTGAAGAAATTTGGGAAAGTTGATTATAGAATAGACATGAACGGCAAAATTAAGACATTCCATGCAAATATGCTCAAGTTATATTTTGACAGGAATGAATGTTGTGTTGATGCTGGTAATGGTATCTTAGGTGTCGCTAGTGCAGCTATGGTAGATATTTAGGAAGATTATTAAGTTGATGACAATGATCTGATAGATTCAACACTACCTACTTCGAAGGAGAAACCCAGTGATGTCAAAGTAAGTGATGAATTGACGACAATAAGTGAACGTGAACAAGTGAAATCGTTACTTGAAGAGTATAGTGATGTGTTATCAGATATTCCAGGATGTACGACATTGAATGAGCATCATATAAAATTGACGAGTGAAAAAGCCTGTGCGATCCAAACCATACCCTTTACCTTTTACAACTCGTGATGAGGTGTGTGAGGAAGTTAAAAACATGAAGTCGGGAGTGATTGGAAATTTCAACATTCCATATTGTTCACCCTTTATGACTGTGAAAGAGAAAGACGGTATTACTTTTGTAACTTTATAGGTTCCGTATTGTGGTGAATAAAGGATCAGAGAACGTTGGTGTTGATTGTCTAAGTAGGTTGTAGGATTTGAGTGAGACATTATGAACATTGTAGTTTTGTACATGTTTTTTTTTTCTTTGTTGATTGTGAGTTTTGCAAAAGTTCAGTGAACTTTCTTGAATTGGGGAGGTGATATCACAATCAATGCCGATTTTGTTATATGTTCATTTATTTATATTTTATTAGTATTGTCCTGTGGTGACCAATGTTTGTATTTAGTATTTAACGAGGCTAGGGGGTGGCAGCCATTTTTAGACTATTTCAATCTCCTTTAAAAGGAGAGCTTCATATAAAGATATACAAAATGGTAAAATTTTAAAACTAAAATATATGAATTTTTTCTTTGCCAAATGATAGTTGACAGCTAAATATACCGTATATAAAAAAATAAGTTAAATCTGGTGGTTAATTTGGGATTAAATTGTTGACCCGCCAGCCTCCTTAACCTGCAAGGAGCCCCATTTTGACGCTCAGGTGATTTAAATATTTGTCCAGTCGCTATATAAGGCGATGTCAGGTTTGTCTTGGGCAGCGCAAGTGAAAGTAGTTTTACATGCCCATGGAGGGTTAGGTAGTTTCATTCGTGGTAACTGAATCTCCAATCAGGGTAAGTGCAATTTACTTACATTTATTATATATAAAAGTAATGCAGTGTTTATATTGTTATCCAAAAAAGTGTTTGAATTGTATACGGGAGTTTTACCACGTCTATAAAACACACTGGTCACAACATGGAATATTTATTAAACTGACTTCCGGTCATCCAGATACAAAACAAGTCGTACATAAAACATTCGTAATATATATGACATCCCCCCTTTTAGAGACAAAGGACAATTAGCCAAAATAATACTGATGTACATAGTGACTGACTGACTAGAAGTTAATGATAATGACTAGAGCTTTAAATTCACAGTTTGTTTGTAAATGAATGTCAATAGCTGTAAATAAAGAAATGTCAAATCATCAAAATTGAAATAGTTCCACAACTGTTTTATAAAACAACATTATCAACACATTTTGCACATGTATTACAAATACTGAATTCTACAATGACGAATCTTATATTATGCTGCATGCATCACAAACTTAAATTCTGAACAATTGGTATTGATCATTTCACAAATTCACTAATTGCTTATTTCACAAAATCCTTGAATTTGGATGGACACACCACATTCCTCCCGGATCTAGTGCAGATGGTACTCGGGACGGATGTTGTCGGATTGGACAGTTAAACTCCCTGAGACGGTTTCTCGATAGCGGTTTGTCCAGCATTCGATTGGAACGGTTCATTGGATTTCTCTGACGGAGGAGGAAGAATCGGTTCATCAACTTCATGTTTATCTGGGAACGTCGCGGAGGTTGGTCTGATATGACGTCTGTTTCGTCGGTACCGTTTTCCGGACTGCGCTTGGAGAACATACGATCTTGGAGAGCTGTGCTGTTGTACGACTACGGCGGGAGTCCATTTGTTGTCGTGTCGCATAACTGTGGTTTCTCCAGGATAGAGATCACGCAATTCCTTTCCAGCATGAGCATCGTAGTTCAGCTTTTGTTGGTATTTGCGAGTTTTCAGGCGTTCTTGAGCGTCTTGCATGCCCAACAGAGTTTGGTTCCAACAGAGGTGATTCTTCAGGTAAGTCGGTTTTTAGACGACTGTTGAAGAATAGTTGTGCCGGAGACTTTCCTAGCATGTCGATGGCAGTATTTCTGTATGCAAGTAGGGCTATGTATGGATCAGTTGATTTCCGCATTAGTTGTTTTACTGTTTGGACAGTACGTTCTATCTGTCCATTTACCTGCGGGAAGTGCGGGCTTGTTGTCTTGTGCACAAAACCATAGTCTTTAGCAAATTCTCAGAAATTTGCAGAAGCGAACTGCGGTCCGTTGTCGGATATTAACTTGTCTGGTATCCCGTTGCGAGAAAAAATACCTTTCAGGTGTAGGATTGTGTTGTCGCTGGTTTGGTTTTCAAGTTTTGCAAATTCGGGCCATTTTGAGAAGTGATCAACACAGACCAAGTATGAATGTCCTTTGAAATCAAATAAATCAGCTGATATGATGGACCATGGACGAGATGGTGTTTCTGTCTCTAGCATTGGTTCTTTGGGGTTTGACTTGCTGTTCAATGCACAAATTGAGCATCTTTCAACTACCTCTTGAATCGATGACGTCATTCCTGGCCAGAATAATGTTTCTCTAGCTCTATTTTTGCATTTCACTGTTCCAAGATGAGAGCTATGTATACGATCTAGCATTTCTTTCCGTAGTGTTGATGGTACAATGATTTTGTATCCCTTAAACATCAATCCATCGATGCATGTAATCTCGTCTCTGAATGGCCAGTAAGGGTAGGTTGAGTTTGGTATGCTATCTTTGGTGTTGGGCCATCCCGGTTTTACAACGGCCTGTAAAGTTTGCAGTTCTGGGTCGTCATGAGTGGCTTGCTGAAAGCGTTCATACTGTACTGGAGACATTGGTTAGTAACTGATTGAGCTGGTTTTAATGTCGGGCATAAGCTGTTCCTTTGTTTCATTCATGAAGGCTCGGCTGAGAGTGTCCGCAATGAACATAGTCTTGCCTGGTTTGTAATGAACTTCTATGTCATAACGTTGTAGTGTGAGCAGAAGTGACTGTAGTCGAGCAGGTGCTTAGTAAAGCGGTTTACGAAATATTGATTGGAGTGGCTTATGATCACTTTCCACCAATACGTGACGACCAAATACATATTGATGAAATTTTGTACATCCGTACGCAATGTCCAACGCCTCTTTTTCAATCTGGGCGTTATTTTGTTGGCTTTTTGTTAAAGCACGCGATGCGTAGGCAATAGGCTGACCTTCTTGTATGAGTGCTGCACCGAGTCCTTTAGAGCTTGCGTCCACTGTTAATACGAGTGGTTTCTTTGGGTCGTAATAGCGCAAGACAGGTGTGTTGCTCACAAGGTGCTTCAAGGTATGGAAGCTGTCTTCCTGTGGTTTCTCCCAGTGGAAGAGAATGTCCTTTTCCAGGAGCGATCGGAGTGGTGCACTCGCTTCAGACAGGTTTGGTAGGAACTTTCCAAGGTATTGTATGAATCCTAGGAATGTCTGTAGTTCGGATACATTCTGAGGCGCAGGCATGTCTTTCACAGTGCGAATCTTTTCAGGGTCTGGCTGGATCCCTGCAGAGGTAAACACGTGACCTACATACGCAATGTGGTCTTTTCTGAACTGGCACTTCTCTGGACTCAGTTTTAAGTTGTAGTCCCGAATTCGGTTCCTGACGGCTTTCAATCTTTGGTCATGCTGCTGCCTGTCTTTACCCCAGATCAAAATGTCATCTATTATCGCTTCATAACCCTCCAGGTCTCTGACCATCTCTGAGATTGTGCGTTGGTAGATTTCTGACGCTGAGCTGATACCAAATGGTAGCCTCGTGAATCTGTAGCGTCCATATGGGCTATTGAAGGTGCAGAGCTTTGAATTCTCTTCTCTGAGTCCAATTTGCCAAAAGCCGGATGTGGCGTCAAGTTTCGAAAACATCTTTGCTTCAGTAATCTGCTGTGTGACATCTTCTATTGTCTTAAGAGGATAATGTTCTCTGCGGATAGCTTTGTTGAGATCTTTGGGGTCTATACAAATGCGTAGTTTTCCATTCGGTTTCTGGACGGTAACCATAGAGTTGATCCATGCTGTAGGTTCTTTCTGCGGAACAATAACACCCGATTGTTCCATGCGATCAAGTTCATCTTTGATCTTGTCACGGAGCGCAATTGGTACACGCCGAGGTGGGTGAATTACTGGAGGTATCGACGGGTCAATCCTGATGTCCTGTTTTACTGGCA